GCAAAGTTCTATAGCCATAGTCATCCATGTCTGCAACAAAGGTAGGGAAATGCGCTTTTCCTCATCTTTTCTTCAGGGCCAAGCTTGGTTATTATAATTACATAGCATTAGGTAAATTTTTGTTATTTTATTCATTAATTACATTGTAGTTATTGTATACCCCATTTAAAAATTTTCTTTATTTTGCATCAATTCATATGTTTTCTTATACTTATTCATTTTCTCATGATATTTTAATACCCCACTGTGTTAACATTTCATCATTTGTTTAGCAGTTCCTCCATTGATAGGCATCTACATTGTTTTCAGTCCTTTGCTACTACAAAATGTGCTGCTATACATATTTTGGTATTCATAGGCTCTTTCTTTTTTATCTTTCCCCTTCTTGAGTTATATAGCTAATGGTGGGATTTCTGGATTAAAGAGTATGAACATTTTAGGCATTAGAACAGTAGCACTAATTCATAACTCGATGACATCACAATTTAAAACACATGTCATGTGTTATGAGAGGAGTAGAAGGTGAGCATATAGAATTTATCATTGTACTTCAAATGTAAACAAAAGCATTCTGTAGAGAATGTCTACTCATTTGAATATGGAACTTGAGGATCTTCCCCTAGAAAGAATAGATATGTGTCACAGTAATCACCAGAAATCAGCGAGTTCACTGAGAACATATTAATGCTAAACTGAATTTCCCTCCTTAAGATCTACCCCCATAACAGGACTTGAGAAATTGTTCATTGAATGAATGAATATCAGCCACTCCATTCCACTTCTTTGCAGGCAGGGCCCTGTATATCAATCAAATCAAATCAAGTCATTTATTAATGTGGTAGCTAGGTGGCACAATGGATACAGCACCAGCGCTGGAGTCAGGAGGACCTGAGTTCAAATCTGGCCTCAGACACATAACATTTACTAACTGTGTGATTCTGGGCAAATTACTTAATCCCAATTGCCTCACCAAAAAAAAAAAACCAAAAACCAACCCCTCCCCAAAAACACCCCAACATTTGTTAAGTGTTTAGTGTATTCCAGGCAATGTGCTAAGTGCTGAGGATACAAAAAAAAAAAGGTAAAAAGACAGTCCCTGCCTTCAAGTAGCTTACCTTTTAATGGATTCCAGAGGTTCCCAAAGTGGGTGATACCACCCCCTGAGGGGCACTGGAATGATCTGGGGGGGTGGTAGTAGCCTTGGGTATAATTGGGGGGCATTGAATAAAAATAAGGGGGCAGTGGAAGCATGAAGAAAGAAGATAAAAGTTTGAAAAACTGTTCATACATGTTTCATCTGTTGTGTAACAGAATTGAAGTCATAGTGATTACATTTTTTTCCAAATAAACACACAAAATGCAAGTTATAACTGATCAGTGGTCAAGTCTGCTGACTGGTCTTAATAAGCAAGTGTTGGCAGGTGAGTGTGTCATTTATTGTCGGGAAGTTCGGCATGCATCAGCAGGAACATGTGAGTATAATGACTTGTTTATAATACAATACTATGTGGTTATGTGGTACAATGTTGTGTCATCAAAATTTCAATGCAGGAAAAAACCACAAATTTATAATAAATTATTAAATTTAAGATGCATCATTAAAGATTTTTTTGTATTTTTTGAAATGATGCAAATTTAAAAAAATAAACCATTAAAGAGTTAAAGAAAGTAGATTTTCAAGGGGGTGCTGAGTAATTTTTTTTTTTGAAAAGGAGGTGGTAGACCAAATAAGTTTGGGAACCTCTGGGTTAGACAACTCGGTAGATATAAGATACCTGCAGAGTAGATGGAAGACATTCTGAGAGGGAGAAGGCTTTAGTAGGATTTGAGCTAAGTCTTGAAGGAAGTCAGGGGAATTAAGAGATATAAATGAGGAGGCAGAGCAATCCAGGCATGGGGGATAGCCAGTGCAAAGGCACATGGATGAGAAGTGGAGCATCATGTTTAAGGAGCTCTTAAATAGGGCAGTGAAACTGGAATGTACAACATGTGAAGGAGATTAAGGTGCCAGAAAACTGGAAAGGTGGAAAGGGAACAGGTTATGAAGAGCTTTAAATGACAATCAAAGAAGTTCATATATGATCCTTACTGTAATAAGAAGCTCTATCACTACAGCTCATTGAGCAGTGGGGAGATGTGGTCAGATCTATAGTATAGAACACTAATGTTGGCAGCTAAGTGGATGATGGATTGGAGTTGGGAGGGACTTAAGGTACAGGGAGTCAAAGTAGATTATTGTAATAGTCCAGGGGGGTAGGTGATGAGGGCCTAAACTAGGGTTGTAGTTATGAGAGGGGAAAGAAGGGAACAAACAGCATATGAGAAATATGAAGATAGAAGTAGTAAGATTTGGCAATGAATTAGATAAATGAAATGAATGATAGTGAGGAGTCAAAGGTTATGAGGCTGGGTGAATGGGAGGATGGTGGTACCCCCAACAGTAATAGGAAAGTTGGGAAGAATTTGGGGAGAAGTTGGAGATGCCTCTTGAACATCCAATCTGAGATGTCCAAAAGGCAGTTGAGGATGGATGATTGGAGCTCAGGGCAAAAAGGTCAGGGCTGGATATATAGTTCTGGAATTATCTACAGAAAGGTGATAATTGAACTTATGGGAGCTGATGAATTTAAATCTGGCCTCTGGACAAATCACTTAACCTCTATCTGCCTCAGTTTCCTCAACTGTAAAATGAGGATAGTAAAAGCACCCACCTCACAAGACTGTTGTGAGGATAAATTGAGATAATATTTATATTGTGCTAAGCACAGTACAGTGGAACATAGAAAGTGCTCAGTACATTCCCATTTCCTTCCCTTTCTTTCCCCAATGAGGTCATTAAATGAGATAAGATAGATAGAGAAGAGGACCCATGAAAATCTTGGGAGTTACTCATGGTTAGTGAGTGTGACATGGATGAAGAACTAGAAAACAAGACTGAGAGGAGTTGTTAGATATATAGGCAGAGTACCAAGAGAGTGTGAAGTTCTAAAAACCTGAGGAGAGAGTATCCAGGAGGAGAATGTATGTGATCAAAGGTATAAATGCTACAGAGAGGTCAAGAAGGATCAGAATTGAGAAAAGGCTGTTAGATTTGTTGGTTAAGAGATCACTGATGACTTTGGAATGGTGATGGGGTCAGAAGCCAGTTCACAAAAATTTTAGCAGAGAATGAAAGAAGAGGAAATGGAAACACTTAGGATAGGTAATTTTTTCGAGGAATTTTGCATGCCAATTTTGGCATCATGACAGGCATGAAAGACATAAGATGATGAATAGCAGGGATGGTAGGATGAAGTGAACGTTTTTTTTTTTTAATAAAGGATGAAGGAGAGTTGAGCACATTTGTAAGCAGGGAAGGAACTAGGAAACAAAGCAAGATTAAAGATAAGGGGAAGAATGGGGATGATAGCTGGGGTGATCTGATGGAGAACTTGGGAGGGGAGAGCATGAAAGATTCAGACAGAGGGGTTGACTTTGGCAAGGAGAAGGGCGACTTCTTCGTGGGAAGGGGAGGAGGAAAAGAGAATGTCCCATAGGCATTTCAAACTCAACATATCAAAAATGGAAATAATCTTTTTACTGTCCTCTATCCCTCACCTTCATTTGATAAGCTTTGCTAATTCTGCCACCACATCATCACTTGTGCCTGTCTCCTTCTTCCCACTTACTTGGTTACCACCCTAGTTTGGGCTTTCCTCACCTGTTGCTTAAACTGCTGCAAAAGCTTCCTAATTTATTTTCCTTGCTCAAATAGAATTCTTCTCTAGATCATTCTCAATAAAGCTGCCACGCAGATGTTCCTAAAGCACAGGTCTGACTATGTTATTCCCCTGCTTTTTGGTGAGGCAGTCAGGGTTAAGTGACTTGCCCAGGGTCACACAGTTAGTATCAAGTGTCTGAGGCCAGATTTGAACTCAGATCCTCCCTACTCCAGGGCTGGTGCTCTGTCTACTGTGCCACATAGCTGCCCCTAGTCTCCCCTGCTAAAGAAATTCTAGTGGCTCCCTATTGCCTCTACAGCGAAGGACAAACGCCTCTGGCATTTAGATCCCTTCACAATTGGTTCCTGCCTTTCTTTCCCAGGCTTACTGCACATAATTTCCTTTCATTCATTCTAGATTCCAGTCAATTTTGCCTCCTTACTGCTCCCCATACGCGATATCCCTATCTTTATCTAAAGTCTGCCTTTTGGCTAATACATGATACTCCTACCACCAAAGCCTGGAATGCCTTGGCTTTCTCATCACTGCCTCTTAGAATCCCTAATTTCCTTTAAGGCTTAGTTCAAGTGACTTCTCTTATAGGAGGCCCATCCTGATCTCTGCCCCTCTCCCTCCAATTCCTTGTTTGCTCTCCCACCAAATTTTAGGAGCCCCAACCAAAGCTCTGAAGAACCATATGAAGCATTAGAGATGCAATATATAATCAAATAAATGAAAATAAGACTTTTCTTTCAGAAGGTGCTCAAAGAATCTCACCTTGTGATATAGTGGCAATGTGACGGCATCAGCTTACCCAGGATTACTTCAAAGTCTGGTTGCCCTTCCCTGGAGGATGCAGTAGGATGCTGAGGTTTAAGGCACATTTGTTACTTGGTGAATATTTTTGGTGCTGATGCACAGTGCTGCTCCCAGCATCTCCTCAGCATAAATATATTTCTTCCCTGTTGTCAGTTATGTCTCCTCTTATCATTCTCCTCAGTGATTTGAATATACATACATATACATGTATATATATATGTATATATATATATATGCACATATATATATATATACACACACACATACACACACATACACACACACCCCTTTAAAACAGAAAAGAAAAGTTTGCAGCATTGCAGCGATGGATTTGTGGAGTCTCTGAGGTAGCTCTTCCCCAAAGAGATAAGGAAGTCTATTAAGTGTGCACCTGCAGTGGTACTCAAGAGAGACAGAGGAGACAGAGAGTGTATGTTGGTTTCATCTTTATTCATGAAGCCCTTGAGGGTGATGGAAAAGGGGACCTGGAATCCATGCAGATGGTCAGTGTCCCTAGACACACTCAATGTGGTGTGCCCCAACTGCCTTTGCTGATGTTTGGAGGTCCGCATAAACCCATCTTCCTTGCTTTATTTTTGCATTATTAATGCCCTCCTAAGGGCTTGCATTTGTATTCAGTAGGTGAAGGTAAGATTGGCACAGCTTCATCTCCCTTGAACTCTGCCTGTTCACTGCTGTGACATTGGCGCTCTCTGAAAGATGCGTGAATTGAGCAGGCACAGCTGGAAGGAAGCAGATCATCTGGAACGAAGGAAAACATGCATTTAGTTAATTTTAAATAAAGAGGCTTTGTTTACATTTTCTCAGTTCATCTTACAGAGTTAGTCAAATTTTAGATTCCCTCCAAAATTAAGCAAGCATTGGGAACAGATGGTGGGTTTATTTTACCTCAGACAACCTGTTCAAGAAGCATGAACTCTGAGCCATATCAAAGGAAAGCAACTCTTCATGTTAAATTGTCAAAAGAAACTGTGAAGCATGGTTTCCTCAAAGAAAACAGCATCCGGGCCAACAAGGAATGCTGCCCCAGGGTTAATATTAGGACAAGGAATCGAGTCCCATGTGCAGACAGGTAAGACTGCCCCAAATTTGCTTCAGTTTCTCGTCCTGAGATACCAGTCTAATAGTGCAAGACAGTAGAATGTTGAACAGGAAGCGAAAGGACTCCCTAGCTCATACTCTGCCACTGAATTCTTGTCAGAGAGAGGGAAAGGTAGATTTTTCCTCACTTTCAAGCCCTTTTTGAATTGTGAAGTCTGAATTGGGAGCGGTGGAGCATTCCTATAATCTCTGCTGCTGAGGAGGCTGAGGCTGGTGGATTGACTGAGCTTGGGTTCTGAGCTGCCGTGGGGCTCCAACTGATTGGGTGGCCACAGTAAGTCTCGCGCCTATATGGTGAACTTCTGGGAGTGGGGAGGGGACACTAGGTTGCTCAGGGAGGGTCAAATAGTCCCCGGTCAGCAATGGGACAGGTCCAAAACTTCTGTTCCAATTGGTACTGAGATTGGGCCCGTGAGTGGCCAGTGCACTTCCACCCTGGATGAGATAAGGAATCCTGGTTTCAAGAACAAAATAAAACAAAACAATCCCCAAACCCACCACTACCACCACCACGGAAAACAAAACAAAACAAACTCAAACCAAAAACAAACCCTAAACAAAATATCCTATAGTGGCACATATATCCGATAGGAGTTTTATTAAAGGAAGGATCAACTACTCCATTTTGAAGGAATTACAAACTTTTTTCTTTTTTAAAGCTCTTGGAAGTGTATCTTTACTACACTTATCTTGAACAGACTAAAGAAATTGAACAAACTTTTACTTGTGATCCCAGTAGGGCAGTGATTTTTAACCTGGGGTCCATGGGGTCTTAGGCAGATTTCAGGGGATCTGTGAACTTGGATGAGCAAATCTTTATTTTTACTAATCTCTACCTGGAATTTAGCATTCTCTTCAATTATTTAAAAACATTATTCTGAGAAGGGGTCCATAGCCCTCGACAGATTTCCAAAGCAGTCCCGTGGCACAAAAAAAGTTAAGAAGCTCTAACATTGGGAGAATACTCTCTTGAAAGATGCCTGTGTTTTGGGGAAGAAAAACCCGATCATTTTGAAAATATTTTGCTATTTTAATGGCCCTAGGGAATAGGAATTCTGGTGTTTTTGTTGTCATTGTTTTTAAAATTTTTCTTTGGAAAGTCGTGCCACCTAAATTACACATTTGCTTGGGAAAATAATATTACAAGAGATTGCTAGTGATTTCCTCTAGGCCTTATTATTGATAATTTGAGTCTCTTTTCTCTATTCTTGTCTCTTTAATATCAGACTGTGGGGTGTTGGATCTTGTTTTGGGGGGGCTAATTTATCTGGGTAATTGACACAATTCTTCCTTTAATTTGGGCTTTGTAGACTTTGTATATGATATTAGGTTTTCTAGGAAAGTGTTGGAATGTTCTGTATCTCTCTAATAGTTATAATCTATTACTAATGTAAAATGGAACATTTTACATTAGTAAGAGAAGTACAGAAGTCAATTTCTAATTAAAAGTAGAAAAACAGTTAGATCAATAGATGCTCAGCAGCTTGACACTCAGGCCAGACTCTGCTCAAACTTTTATGTTATTCATTGAATCTGAAATGGCTGAAACCCTTCAGCTCCTTGGCAAGGCTGATATAACGATTTTGCTTAATAAGTCAGTAGATGATTTCTACAGCAGGTAAGCAATCAACCAGGCAGATCAAAGTTTTTCTTAATCTGTTTATTAATGTTCAGAAGTCTGTGAGATACATCAAAAATGTGACAGCCAATGTCAAAAAATAAGTTCATTAATAAAGGAAAAGAAATACAAAATTGTGCTTTAAAATAAAACAAACCACCTGCCAAACATATGCCCATGGAAACATGCTCATTGGTCACTGTCAATGACTGGGTGAAAAATGTATGCGATTTTTAGTCCTTTCCAGACTGATCACTTAAAAAGACGTATGACAAATAGCTTGTGAGAAAGAAGCACCTTACCTATGGAAAGACTCACCAGAACATATTAATAGAGTAATTTGTCATTAAATGATTATTCCAAAACGTGTTCCTTTTGACAGCCAGATGTGTGTGGCCTGCCCATGGCCTGATACTTCTAGAGAGGAAAAGAAATTGACCTTAAAAAATAATTAAAGAAGGAAAAATCACACCAGGAAGTAATTGATTTTAACTTACCTCTTGTGAGGTCGTATGTCTAGATACAGAGTACACAAAATTAGCTTAGAGGTTTTTTTTTTTTAACTCTGCTTAATATGTCTTTTCCAAAGAACTGATATTTCTACCATCACTGAATTATCTAGGATATGCAGTATTGGATATATTTGTATATATTATACTGTGTTGCATACATACATGTTTGTGTATGAGATGTAAAGTAACACAGTAGACAATAGATTTTGAGTCATGAAGACCTGAGTTCAAATCCCACTGCTAGCTATGTGACCTTGGGCAGTCACTTAACCTTTCTGGGCCTCAGATTTATCTACAAAATGGGATCTATAAGATTCCTTTCTGGAGTTAAGGTCTTCCACAATCTGATGCCAATTTTATTTCCAAAGATAATAAATTATACTATCAATCCAAACTGGACTATTTTCCCCTGAGGTCTATGGTACATTTCCTGCCTCTGGGTTCCTGCCTATTTTATTCTTACCAGTGGTCTCTCGTGTCAGGAATAAAATCCTTTCTCAACTGTCCCTTTCAGAATCTTTATCTTTCCTTAAGGTTCATCTAAAGAAATATCACCATGCTGACCCTCCCTGATGTCCTTAGGTGAAAGTATTTTTTTCCTCTTCTCAAAAAAAGTATTTTTTGTCTCTTCTCAAATTTTCTTGGAGTACATACTTGTATAGATCTTTCTCCTGTTTCCATTATACCCTATCTTGAATTAGACTTATCTTAATATAGATCATGTTGCCCCCAGTGAAAAGTGAGCTCTTTCAGAAAAGGTCTGTGTAATTAAAAAATTTTTCTCCCCTATGTCCAGCCCAGTGCCTTTCACATGAGATACTAAATTGAAGTAGATTGGGTTCAATGAATTGAATTAAAAAACATGATTTTCTGTGATTTAATAATAGATCTTAATTCTGCCTATTATTAACATTTTTAAACTAGAAGTATACAAATATTTGGAAGGTGGTTTTGGATCTCTGTATATTTACATATTTTGAAGTTGCCAGACCTGTTCAACCAAAGCTATAAGAATCTAGGTCCTTCTTTTACCTCTGGCACCAACCTGAAGGAAAAGCTAAAGCTCTGAGCCTAGAACTAGAAAGCTTGTGAAAAATTATCCAAACACTCAAAATCCACCATGAAAGCGATAGTGAACAACAACCAAAGTTCTGTAGTACAAAGGCTTAAAAATATATATCTCAAAATTGAGGATTTTTGTCTTAAATAGGGTGAATACTCCTTCCTTCGGACAGTTAGGTGGTACAGTGCCAGGCCTGGAGTGTAGAAGACTCATCTTCCTGAGTTCAAATCTAGCCTCAGACACTTGGTAGCTGTGTGACCCTGGGCAAGTCACTTAACCTTATTTGCTTCAGTTTCCTTATCTGTAAAATGAGCTGGAAAAGGAAATGGCAAACCACTCCAGTATTTCTACCAAGCAAACCTGAAATGGAGTCATGAAGAGTAGGATAAGACTGAAAAATTGCTGAACAATGATGCTCCCTCCTTTAATGACAGTACCTCTACATCTTGGTAGATGGTCTATGTAAGCTGTTTCAGCTGGAAAAAAGTCATCACCTGGTGTTTACCATTCTGGTGATTAGCCTTTGGCAACCTTAGCTAGACTGACCCTCTCTTGAAAGAGATGTAGCTTTTCACTGGGCCCTTACTTGAAATTGTTTTCAGCTTAGTGTGGGATCTGTTAGAATTTGGGTTCTCTTTGAACAGGTTTTGAAAATACAGGATCAGTACCATACTACAATGAGGCATTGCAATAAGACATCAAAGAAGGAAAACATGAAGTTGATTAAAATAATTTATTGGGATTTATACTGAATTAGAAATAAATTGGATTAAAAACTTTTAAATAATAAAAAGTAACTGTTGTACTATGTAACCTAATCTGCTGGTTTCTTACTCAATGCCTACTTAAAATTTAATCAAATATTAAGTTTAAAAAATTGACCTGACCAAGGGTAGGGACAAGAATTTACTAGCCTCATCAACAGAGCATGACAAATTCTTTTTAAAAATTAAAATGAATAATTCATTTATTGAACTGAATAGGAATGTCATCTGTCTCTACCTTTAATTGCATTTTGAGTTTTCAGGGGGAGATAGAGTGATGTAATAGCAGACACAGTATGCTGGGAATTAGAAGAGGAGTTCTAGTCCTGAATCTAACATTAATTAGTCATATGACCTTGAGTGAGTAATCTCACTTCTTTAGGCCTCAGTGTCCTTATATGCAAAATTAGGAATTTGATTAGGTGACCAGTAAGGTCTCTCCTACCTCTGAAATTCTGTGTTTTGAAAATCATGAATCAAGCTATTCCCTTTACGTAGGCAGGCTGTATTTCACAATTTGTAGGTTGTCTGGTTCTTGCCCATCTGCATGGCTATAAAAAGGTTTTTTGAAGGAAAAAAAGAGAACAATATGTTGGATGTGTAAACTACTTCTTGCGTCATAATTCTCTCTATGTCACTCTAGTTAACATCCTTAGATAGACAGGGATCTAGAAAAGAGATGTGAAAATTTGACGTTTCTCAACTTAATTTTTAAAACAGTAGAATTGAGGCATGCATATTGAATCTCTTGTAGGAAATTTAACTTCATTCAAAGAAAAGCATGCTGGTTATTTCAAAGAAATTTTAAAAAGAGAAAATTAAGAGGTAAGCTCTCACAATAGTTAGAACTGTGAGCTGTCATTGCTGGAGTTTAGATGTCTATCATCTCTAGTCTCTTTGCCTCAAATCTCTCACCACTCCAGAGCAGTCTGTATACTACTGTCAAAATAATTTTCCTTAAGTACAGATCTGACCATATGGCTACCCAACTCAACCAAACCTAGAGGTTTCCTATTGCCTCTAGAATAAAATATAAACTCCTCTGCTTTGCTTTTAAAGCTCTCTACAATAGAATCCCAGATTATCTTCCCAGTCTGAGTGGATATTATTGCTCTCCTCTTCATACTCTTCAGTTCTGCCAAACTGATTGATCCCTCTGTTCCTCACACATAATCCATCTGTGGGCAGGACTGTGGGCCTTTGCACTCAATATCTCGCATGACTGGAATGACCTACAATCTTGCCTCCACCTAATAGAGTCTTTTCTTTAAGGTGCTGTTCCATTTTCTGCATGGAGCAAGCTTTTCATAATCCTCTCAACTATTAGGGTTCTCCCTCCCAAAATTACCTTATATTTAAGCACTATGTAATTATTTGTATTTATTCTCTTTATTTTTATGTACTTACACATTTAAAAAAAATCTTTCTTTTTAAATGTAAGCTCCTTGAGGGTGGAAATTATTTTATTCATTGTGCCTAGCATAGTGTTAGCATATAGTAGGTGCTTAATAATTGCTTTTTGATTGATTAAATAAAGGATGAATGAAAGGAAGTGACATAAAGTAAGCCTAGAATTGTAGGCTGGAGCAATATTATTTAGGGCATTATTATTTGTGGAGGATTTTTTCCCCTCTAGAGGCAATAAGAATCCTCAAAATTAAAAGGTTCTTGAGAATGAAAGTGATATGATATAATCTGATCTATGCTCTAGAAAAAAAATTGGCAGCTGGGTGGGGGATGGTTTGGGTGAGGAGAGACTAGACTTTAGGAGTTCAACTAGGAGGCTATTGTGATGATCTACATAAGAGAAGATGAGAGACTGTACTAGAGTGGTTACCATGTGAGTGAAGATGAGGATGTAGATACAAAAAAGTGTGGAGGAATGATTAATATGTCTTGACAGCTGATTGGATATGGAGGGGTGAGGGATGGGGAAGCACTGAGGATGACTCCAAGGTTGCAGACCTGGGTGACCAGAAAAAATAAATTTGCTTTCAACAGGAATAGGAGGGTTGGAGAAGGGATGGGTATTAAGGCAGAAGATAATGAGTTGTATTAAGTTTATGTTCAATTTGGGGTGCCTATGTAACATTGAGGTGTTACAGGACCTGAGCTTACAAGAAAGATTAGTGTTGGATATATGAAACTGGGAATCATCAGCAGAAAGAGTTCATTCAATGAAAATTTAAGTGTGTATACCTTGCTTAGCCTCTTGCTTAGGACTGTTCAAGAGAAAAGCTTGATCCATGGATGATAAAATGATTATTACTTTAAAAAGGACAAATCCCTGTCCTTAGTTACCTTTCACTTTAATTGGAATGTCTACTTGGCATGGTTTATATGTATTCTTTTTCTCCTCCTTTCCTTCTTCCCCCTCTTTATATCCTTCTATCTTCCATCTTCTTCCTCCTCATCTGCCATTCCATTCATAGTTCATCCATCCATCAATCCTCTGCTGAGGACCTACTACGTGTAAACTATAGTACTAGGTATTAGAGTTGGTGGAAAAGGATGTATACAATAAAATTAAGACAATACAAATGATTCTGTGTTAATTGTATGGCAATAAGTATAATATATGGTATACCACACAGATAATGTGTTTAATGTAGTGAGAAATCACTGTGATCTAGTATAGTGAAGAAAGGCTTCAAGTGGGAGGTGAAGCTTGAGATGAACCTTGAAAGAAAAGTATAACTTAGGTAAATGTGTGTGAAAGCAGGTATTCCAAGTAGGGAGAACAGGGTAAACAAATGTGTGGAGGTGAAATATATTGTATTTTCAGGAGATGATGAACAACCAGTATAGCTAGAAGGGAGGATTTGTGTAGCAGTGGTGGAAGCTAAATTTGGAAATGTATGTTGAGGAAAAATTGTGAAGACCTTTGAATGCCAAGGTAGGATTTCCATCTTGATTCTCTAAAGCCATTTGTTAAGTATATACTGTGTGACTTGCACTGTTTTAGGAACTGTGGGGCTAAAAAGTAAGGAAAGAAGGCACATAAAAAATTGAGAGGAAGGAGAACCAGCATATCTTAGAAATTGACCTCAAGGAGCTCA